AAAGACGTATTCATTTTCAAATAACTTATTCATCAATCTTTCATTATTTTATTTATCTTTGGATTCATTCGTTGAGTAATAACATTTATCCGTATATACATATATACGACTGATTATTAAATATTTCTTTAGTTCTTCCATCTCTCATCTTTTCTTCTTTCCTCCCTCCTCCCATTACCCTCCAACTCTTCACATCAACGTCCGTTTAATAATCTGAATTGCTTTCCTCTCCCGTCCGCCTCCTCCCTTCCTCCACAATATCAGCATCTTCTTTTTGCTCTTCTAAGTTATTTCCATCCAATCCATCTATCTATCCATCCCATCTTTTTACTCACTTATCCATCCATTAATTCATTCGTTCGTTCGTCCATTCATTCATTCATTCATTCATTCATTCATTCATTCATTCATCTGCTCTCAGTTTGATATATATGGTGAATATTCTTCCAAACAACAGATGGTAAAAAGATAACAAACAAAAATTTAAAGATGCTGTAATATCTAGAGTTGCAGTCAGTGAAAAAAAAATTCATGAACTTTCCAAATTGTCCTGCTAGTAACACCATCATCAGAACAGAAAAAGCCAACAAAAAAAAAAAAAAACATGCAAAAGATATTGATGCAAACCACTCTTTGACATCAATATCAATATCCTTATTTACAGAGTGGACAGTTAACAAGAGCAAAAAAGAAAGAAAAAAAAAAACTCGAAAACATTACCACAACCACCAGCCAACAGCAACAATAACAATATCGACACCGACTTCAACACCATCTGCAGCAGCATCATTCGGATCAGCATCAGCACCAACAATGGCAATACCAGCAGCAGTAGCTCTATCACCAGCACCAGCAATGGCAGCGGCAGCAAAAACAACAACAACAACAACAACAACAACAATAACAACAATTAACAGTACAGTGAACTACAAGTGCCACAAATAACAATAATAATAATAACAACAACAAAAATAATAATAATAATAATAATAATAATAATAATAATAAATAATAATAATAATAATAATAATAATAATAATAATAATAAGACAATAATAATAAATTAATTTTGAGATTTTTCGGAATCAGCTAATAATAGTAATAATAATAATAATCGTAATACTAAGAATCAATAACAATATAATTCATTCAAATTGTACCAGTTACCTTAATCAGCTGCAGAAACACAATTAATATGATTATTCGCATGTATCATTTCATTCACCTCTCCTTCCTCATCCCCCTTGCCCTCCTTCTTCTAACTCCTATTCATTCTTTATTTTATTCCTTTTTAGCAACACATGAGGCATATATACTCAATAATATTAATATTAAAATAATAATACTAATATTTGTGTTGAAAAATAGGAGAAAACGAGAAGGGAGCAGCAGCAGAAAGCAACGGCGTTAGATGGCAATGGCTCCCCCCATTATTTGAGATGGCACTGAATTGCGGCCCGTTTGCGCTGTTGTTGTAGTTCATTGATTGCCACTAGTTGCGCGCAATGCTTTTTTTTCTCCTTTCGCCCCCGCCAACTCGATGGGCATATTTGCTTTTTTTTTTT